TTATTTTCGTAGATAATATTTTATCGTTGAAATTCTCATTGATTGAGAATATTTCGCCTTCGTGGCATTGAACTTTTACGTGGCAAATTATGTATTATACAGTAGTATTAAGTAAAGCAGTATTTCTGTTGACGAACTCTTATAAGAAGATGAAAAAAGAAAACCAGTAGGCTAAGCACAGGTGTGCTTGTTGTGTTTCTTGTCTCCTGTCCCTTTCTTTTCAGCTCTTTTCTTTCCAGGAAATTTGTTGGTCGCGCGCAATGCGGCCGGTAGATTCAGTGATTGTGCGTAGCAACAAGTTTGTTTCTCGGGGCAAAGTGACCCCGAGTACGTTGTCGTTCGCGATGTTAAGCAAACGCGAGAATAGAAGCAGTGTTTCTTACGCAGTATTAAATTATTTCCAGAGCATCGTGGCTCTTTCTGTTTTCTGAATCGCGATAATAGAATCATTTGTTCGCCGATTTCAATCTTCGGTCGCGGTAATGTAATTTAATACTTTCCAATCAAATTAATTATTTTTTCAATTTGAAATTTAAACTCCTCGTTACCGGAATTAGAGTCAGTGCATCACCGAAGAGGACTATTAGCCGATGCTCCACGAGCAAACAATGTAAGTATAAATTTATACTTTGAAATTTTTAATTAAAAATCTCTACAGTTTTGACAATAGATTCTAATTGTTTTCTTACAGTTTTCTTACAGTTTCTGAACATGATCCTGGGAACCAGCAGCAGTATCCGGGGGGTATCGGGCGGTGGACCACGAGCGAACAACGTAAGTATAAATTTATACTTTGAAATTTGTTAATTAAAAATCTCTATAATTTTAACAATAGATTATAATTGCTTTCTTATTCTTTATAGCAGGAGCATGCAGGGGGCTTTGATGACTTCCACTGGGCAGCAGCAGCATCGTTATGCAGTCATCCCAGAGGCACAAGTTCATCATTCGTGAGTCGCATGCTATTTGTGTTCCTCTGGTCCCCAACCATGTTGTAGGATGAAAGATCCGAATCAACACGGGTGACCAGTTGTATACTTGGTATTTTTGACGAGTTAAGTGACCGCGGGTATGAAAAACACCCATGAGTTATATTTTTTTAGTGCAGGCTAGGGTCTTCTTGCACTCGCGTTTTTTAATGTTATCAATAAATATTACGCAATATGATTATTACACAACTTTGATACAATATATGAAATATGTTTATTATCTTTATATGAATTAAATAATTGCGTAGAATATGGATTAATATAATGTGAAAACATTATGTCGATCATACGATTCAGTAAAATATCTTACATTATTAATATGATTATTAAATATTCGTTTTATTAATTAATACATCATATGATGCATTTGATGTGCTAGAAGGCGTTTCGCGACTGGTCGATTTTCAACTCAAAGGAACATGCATATTGATTATATTTTTAAAAAAATTTACTTTGACGACAGAACGGGGCACGATGACTTAGTTTGTAACATTTATAATAATAATTTATCTGTGCGACTGACAATGCTAGTGTATCGTGCACGATGTACTGTCCACATATGTGTGTTTGTGGTTAGGATGTAGAAGTGCATCGTTTCAAAAGTTTATTACAATTCAGATACAAAATTTTTTCACATTAGATTCATACCAGTCACAATAATAATATTAAACTTATAGTTATTATTTACTTGGCAATTGTTCGTATTGCATACGCGTCAATAATATTGTAAAATGCATAATGAATTAGCTTTTCAATCTTATATAATCATATATAGAGTATATTTTAATAAAGACTATATTAGATATATTAAAATGTTTTACATAAATAATAAAAGTACGCAATGGGCACTAGCTTTGTCAGTCCACTCCTCAACAATTGTATGCCCACAATTAGAGTGCGAATGAAGTCAGTTATGTCCGGGTGTCGGAGGAACCCCGGGGAGTCCTCTCTAGTTTAGATCGCGCCCGGACATTGAGAATGAGAACCGTGGAGTGTTTATTTGAGAGACTGAGTTTTGCATTTTTTAAATATAGGGTTAGGTAGGTAGGTAACTTTTTTTCTGGTATGTGTGCTAAATCTAAGTAGGTAGGGTCAGGGCAGGGCTGCCACATTAGTTACTCGGGTAGGCGCGTTTTCGCGTGGCAGTTCTGTTCCTGTAGTTACGATTTCGAGGGTAGAAATCTTGCTGATTCAAACGGTTTCAGCTGTTTGTTTCGGCTTTATTTTCGACTCCTCGTATCGCGCGACTCTTAAAGTCGCTCTCTCGTCCACGCGACCGTGATTAGGTCCCTTTCGAAACGTTCGTCCCGCTCGAGATTCACCACGTACATATGCTCTTGCAACAATTCGTATATTGTTGGAAGACTACGTATTGCACAAAATCTCGAGCACAGTCTTAAGTAAGTTTCAGGCATCGGCAGGACCGCCGAAGAAAGAAAAGGCTCTCAATGAGCCGAAGAGGCCCTGACAAACTGTCTCAAGAGTGGGCTGCAACAAATGGCTTTTCATCTTCATCCTCGGATGAGAATGGAAAGTCATTCCTGTTACTAGTTTGTCACTTAACTCGTCTGTAGTTGTAGTTAGTTTATTTTTCTGGCTGGCTCACCTATGCATGTACCTGATGGTACATGATTGCACCATACATGCCAGCCATAAGGGCAACTCGCGCTTATGATATACATAGAGTTGCGAATATCCAATAATCGCGTTTGCTTTTAGAGTTGCGAATTGTTATTTTTCGCGTTTCGTTTTCAGGGTAGTGTTGCGAATAATCACGATTCGCGTTGCTTTTTTACTCTTTTACACATATAATGGACATCAACCGCGTTTGAAATTTTCATACTATAAATTAGCGTTGCGATCTTGATTAATCGTGCGATTTTTTCTTTAGAGTTGCGATATTTTCAATGCCAAAATTCTACCCTAACTGTAGTAATAGAAGTAGTTAGTTTATTTAGTGGCCAGTACATGTGCATTTACATGTACTATTAACCCCTGATTAAAATTAGAGTTGCGAATAATATACAATGTTCGCGTTTGCTCGTAGAGTTGCGAACAAATATTTATCGCGTTGATGTGTTAGTGTTGCTTATAAACGCGATTCGCGATTGTTTTTATTCAAACCTAGGAACCGGGTGTTTGCTTTAAAAATAGCGTTGCGAATTATTAGTAAACGCGATTGCTATTAGAGTTGCGAATCACTATTTTTCGCGTTTGTTTTTCAGGGTAGCGTTGCGAATAATTAACATTCGCGGTTGCTTTTATTGTTACAAGTCGCGTTTGGAATTTTTTCTATTATAAATTAGCGTTGCGATTGTTGATTTATCGCGTTGTTGCCCCGTAGTGTTGCGATATTTAAAACGTCTAAATTTATCCCCACATGAACCACTCTACAGTAGTTAATAATAATTAGAAGTAGTTAGCTTATTTTCTGCATGTATGTTTGCATCAAAGATGGACGTCGCCAGCACCAAGATCCAGCATTTTTGGGCAAAACGCGATTTGCATTAGCGTTGTGAAATATAAATATATTTCCATTAAAGATAGAGCTGCGAATATACAATAATCGCGTTTGCTTGTAGAGTTGCGAATTCCTATTTTTCGCGTTTCCTTTTCAGGGTAGCGTTGCGAATTCCATACGCGATTGCTTTTAATGTTATTTAAGAATAGCATTGCGAATTAACTGATCGGTTTGCTCTTAGCGTTGCAAATTACTATTTTTCGCGTTTACTTTTCAGGGTAGTGTTGCGAATAATCACCATTCGCGGTTGCTTTGATTGTTATAAATCGCGTTTGGAATTTTTCTATTATAAACTAGCGTTGCGATCTTGTCGTGTGTTTTATTAATTAGAGTTGCGATCCAATGCCCAAAAGCTGGCCAAAATGCTGGCCACTGCACCAGGATCATCAAGAAGCAAGCTGGGATTCTGCAAAGCCTCGAATGGCTCAACATTATTATTAAAATTAGTGTTGCGCATGATTGAATATGGGTGCACGCGATTTAATTAACAAAGGAACCCTGTATGGTTCATTTTACGAATAACAAGCACCATTCGCGTATAGTTTTTTATTTTATAAATTAGCGTTCGAAAGAACAATGGTCCACTGTGCTTTCACCTTATGGACTTTCGTGGCCCAATCTGACTGCCATACCGACCTGAAAATTCGGAGGTAATTTTAGCGTTCTCCTCTCATAGGTGGCGGTCAGTTGATAAACTACATATTCACCGAATTGGTATCGATGGGCAGACAGCTGTAGCGTATGCGGAAATGTATGTAAGTTGACTATGGAAGGGATTAAAATTCATTTTTTCTGTCGGTAACGTTGCGATTGACACGAAAATGGAAATGGGGTTTCGAGACCCCATAAAAATTGGCCGAAAATATACATTGGGTGGAAGATCTACTCGTATATCTCGTCTCTGGGTAGAACGTCCAAAATTGTCGAGTAATCGTGTGTTTTTAACGCTAGATGGCACCTTAGACATTTGTGATTGATCAATAACTTCAATTATTATTATTAGTTATGAACAGCTATGAGTAATTATGAGAAACTGTTGAGTATCATATTTTTATATTAATAATTATAATTGAAAATATTTATCGATCGCAGATGCTTAAACCGCCATCTAGCTTCGAAGACGAGGGATTTCTCGATAAACTTGAACATTCTGTCGTAGGTAACTATTTAAACTCCATGAAATAAATCACAAATTTTAGTGAATCGAATATTTTTCCAATGGATTCAGTGTGTATTCTATTCTTGATATGTGGTATAAACAATCTATACAGTCTTGCAATGTAACATATCCTGTTTTTTTTTTAAATTACACGAATGAAACGCAATGTTCCAAAAATTCACTTGATAGAAACATTTTACAGTGAGAGAATTTTTTATTTGTAGATTAAAGTACAGCCTGTATACATAACAGTGTATTTTACGATATGTGACGATAAAGTTTCAAGAATAATTCGATAAACAATTTTATTTATCGAATTTGGAATCGATATTTGGTTTAATGTTCGTGTTATATTCGGTTTTTTTCAAATAACAGTGTACTCGAACAATAATTAAAATAATTGTCAATATTTACATTCTATATATAAATGGACATTAAGCTTTATAGTGGATGAATATAAGTGTTACAACAATTGATACTAAAAGAAAAAACAGAATTATTTTGAAACTTTATTGTCGCACCTCGTATTTAGTGTTAACTATATTTTCGTTCGTGCAATTTATTTATTATAACATTTATGCGTGTTATTCTTGTCTTAAATCCTCTGAGACTTTCTTAAAAATTTGCACTCCTTCGCCATTAGCTTTGCGATATCCAGGTGCTGATGATTTTATTCTGTCCAACCATTTAGCAACGTTCGGATAGCTATCAATGTCGAAATCCATAACCTGCAATTCATACATATTAAATCTTGAAAATTATTTATAATTTTTTTAAACAACTGTTACCTCTGCTGTGGTAACCGTAGCAACTAAGGCAAGATCTGCGACGGTCATGTTACGTCCTGTGACATAATCTTGTCCATCTAGAAAAGCATCTAAAACTTCAAACGCGCTTTGTAATTTTGCATATTTTTCTGGATCGTAATCCTTTGTCTTCCCGAATACGACTGGATACTGAAACACATTCGTACACTCACCGACACATAATCAATTGAAGTGTATTCTACGCATTTTTAAAAATAGAAATACCACGACGAATACGCAAGGTTTTATTTAGCTATCTGCCGTTTCTGATGAATCTCTCGAAAAGAAAAATATAAACTTTTGGTATTGGAATACTTGCATAATAGTCCTTTACGGCTTTGTACATGGTGCCAATATCGAAATGCATTCGTTGGTCGACCATAGCCCGGCCAGCTGGGGTTTGAGGATTCAATCTAGAATTATTACCATACTCATCGACCAAGTACGACATAATAGCTCGGCTGCAACATAAGCACAAGTCATAATAATATATAATTCTTCATTTTCTTTTACATCGTTCTCCGTAAACGTATAAATGGCTCGAATATTATTAATTACGAACCTCTCTCCCAGTTTGTAATCACCGTCTACGAGAAATGGAACCTTTTTCTGCGGATTTAACTGCAACAAATAGTTTCACAAATTGGCATACTTTGCTCATAAAGATCATCATCTAACAGCAACTTCTGATTTGGATAACACAGAGATAAAATATTGAAAAATGTTAGAAGTGGCCTTTGAAGAAAGTGTTTCGACGTTTCGTTAACTTTCCAGCTAGTTCCTTCTGGGGTCAGATGGCCCATTGATAGTAGCGTGTGTCAAGCTGCATCTGTTTATGTCATGAATCATTGGTTACCAATCATCGAGCTAATCGTGGGTCAACTTTAATTTCAGCTGAACAATTGAAACAGCTCTGATTGGTGACCAGCGACCCATAACAAGCTCGGTAATTGGTAACCAATAATCCATGACATTGAGCTCAGGCACCTTCGATAAACCCAAACCATACGATACACATTAATATCAGTGTGTTGTTTGACCCTTGAAGAAGCTCGTTGAAATATCGACGAGATTTTGGAACGATTGTCATAACCGAAGAGCTACCATTATGTTTTCAAATAATTTTTAAATGAAACCATATAAATATTAATTTTTTTATTAATAGTTTGTTTAATCTCTCCAATTATATATGAAATATAATATTTTTTAAATGGCCAACTCTAAGCTGCTGTACAGATGATATAGCGGTATTTATAAAAAGAGGTTGCTATTGTTGTGTTTTGCATTGTCGGTATAATAGACAGCGTAATTACTGAACAATTTTAATGAAAATTGACGCTTCAGGTGCAGTCCAGTAATACATTTAATTGTACACGAATAAATGTCAACAGAAATGAAATATTGAAAGAAATCTGTATTTATACCGACCTGTTCGTATTCTGGTGTTAACTGTTCGCCAGAAAGTAAGTCAATTTCTTTCAGGTTTAAAGGAAAACCGATTGCTTCCGCCGTTAAGAGAACCGCTCTGCAAGGTGAACTCATCGGGGTGTAATACAAATCCACCGACATGATGTAGGATTGTAGACGATAAACTAAAATTGCAAACAACATTTGTAATATAGCAGACAGAAGGGTGAAAAATTAAAGGCGTTGAGTTGCTTCTTTCGTACAGGTTTTTATTCGACTAACTTTAGCAGAACGCTCGCTTCTCCTCGAGAAGGTTCCGCTCTCCTCTTACTTCTAAAATCGAGACTTCTTATCTTTTAAACCTAAACATCCGTCGCCCATATACAGGGTGTTCGGCTACCTATGGCAAAAATTTTAATGAGCGATAGTAGAGGCCAAAATAAGAAGAAAATCAAGAATACTAATTTGTTGATGGAGGCTTCGTTGCAAAGTTATTAACATTTAATAATATCATAATTATGATATTTGTGATTGGATATATCAACGTTAGTAATTATTTTAATTAGTTCGGATAACGTAGATTCGTAAATTCTGTTTCGTTGCAAATGTCAAAAATGGCGCGAAATAACTTTGAAATATACAGGGTGTTCGGCCACCCCTGGGAAAAATTTTAATGAGAGATTCTGTAGGTAAAAATAAGACGAAAATCAAGAATGCTAATTTGTTGAGTGAGACTTCGTTAAAAAGTTATTAACGTTTAAAGTTCCGCCTGTAGAACGACAATCTGCGTACAGCTGCGTACACGCGATAGTGGTTCTCACTCAGCATGAGAAACTTTACTTGCTGACTCATCGACAGCCTTACAGTTTTTTGAGTGAGAACCACTATCACGTGTACGCAGCTGTTCGCAGATCGCCGTTCTGCAGGCGGAACTTTAAACGTTAATAACTTTTTAACGAAGTCGCAATCAACAAATTGGCATTCTTGATTTTCGTCTTATTTTTACCTACAGAATCTCCCATTATAATTTTTCCCAGGGTAGTAGCCGAACACTCTGTATAATAAAATTCATTTACAGTATTATATCACTTCATTCGCAAATACAACGACACACAAGCAAAATGCTTTGTTTTTTATTATTATGTGTTATTGTATATAATTACGCTTTGTTTTCATAGCTGAATTTTCATTTTTATATTTATTGATCAGTATATTAAATTTCTTAATTGATTTACGATATAAAATGTAGAAACGCACAGAAGAATATTTGCCAATAAATTTCCAACAAACGAAAATGTCACGAGATGTTACAAATTGTGATCATTTTGAGAGCCACGGTAGAAATGAAGGTTTTAACGTGCACAACAAATTGTGCAGAGCGTGACTGCGACTGAAAGTCGCGGAATTCAATAAACATCGATTTTATTGAAAATCGTTACAGTCAGAAACAATGCAGTATAAAGATGACAACGTGATATATACGTATAATTCCCTCTTATTTGTGTGCATTTCACTATTTATTGTAACATATAAATTTGTCCTCGCTTAATAACTATGCAGCTGAAAATGACACTTGAAAAATTCAAATATGAAAATTCAAATGCTTGAATGCGTTTTGAAATTTTCTTTTCAAATTACACATGTTCGTCAAAATGCAAAAACCGGTTGTAATCTTTGTATCAATTTTTGTAAAACATGTAAATTATTATCTTGATGTAAAACGCGCTGCATTTCCTGCGAGTACATATTTTCAAGCTTCATTTGTGAAACGATCGACTGACAGTTTTGCAATATTTCAAAGGGATCATTGAAATTTTGAAACTAAACATACGAATAAAGTTAAAATTCAAATTGCACCCAAGGTTGCTTAAAAGCTTTACTTCCGAGCACGCTTAAACTTTGTTATCTAAAGTTTTCTAAACCAACGATTTGAAATATTTCACGAAGTATTTCTCTTTGAACATTATGGGCTTCGTTTCCAACTATTTTCAATAAAATCAGTATTATCGAAATAAATCTATATTCATAAAAAAGCTATATTGCGAACTTTAAACGATTTATTGATCGCGTTTCTCTGTTATTAAATAGTTTCAAGTAAATAGGAAGTTCAAGAACTTTCGATCGGAGCTCTACACACGAGAACGAGCACGCGAATGGAAATAGAGACAAAGTATGAGTTTCATCCAACTCCGATCGAGACGTACATACTTCCTGAATTTCGTTTTCGATCGAGTTTAATCGACAGAACAGTTTTTTCCACGCGCTGAAGCTAAATATACGTCGTAGGAGTGGTGTACACGTGTACGTACGTATATCCGCCATTTAACGAGCAATCAATACACGAGAATAAAACATACGTAGTATACATCGGTCGAAACAGTGAAAATTTTCAATCACGATCCCCTAAATTTAGCGGACGCCAGGAAAATAGAAATTACGTTCAATGATTGGTGTGTGAGTAGTAATTTTTTTGTAATCCAAAAGCAAAAATTATGTTTAATTTGTACGATATTTCCAAGGTGCTCGACGCGCGCGGAAAACCTTGTTGCGCCTTCTAATGACTGCATTTAACACGATCACGCATGTTAAAATGTAATTATTACCTTTGCGATAGCAAGCTTGTAACAGCCAGTATTAAATCCGCCGCTAATAGTATTCGAAGTTTGACGCTATAGGGAAACTCAATCTTTTCGTTGACAGGAAAAGGTAAAGCATACGCACTCTTCCGTTTGCACAGGTGAACTGAAAGCGAGGAGGAACCTTACAGTATGCGCATATATTCACTTATTTGATATAGGTATGCACACAAACTGGGGGTGTTCCACCCCCAGTTGCTCTGTTAACATTTTTCCCTTCCTGGTTCTGTCAAGTATTACGATGAAACAGAAAATACTGCGCGGTTTGCTTTCTGTTATTTTTAAATATATAGGATGAATCGTGTAATCTGTCCACCCCAAATAACTCCCGAAATATGCGTTTAACAAAAAAATAGTTTATATAAAAGTTTTACTTTATTAAAGAGAACTCAGGATGCTAACGCCGTTTCTATACATAATCCATTCGTTTACGAGATATTAAGCTGAACCTGAATTTCTTTTGCAAATAATTAAGATTATATCGAACTCACCTAAGTGTTATGTTTCATCTTCTTCTTTGGGTGTTGAACCGTCTTAAAAATAATTGATGAGAAAATTATCGGGTAAAGCATTCGAAGGTTGAAATCGAGCTTGTAAGTCAAAGTACTATAAGATCATTGTTAGGTGGGAATAACAGCCAATAATGTGTCTACAGACTTTGTAACCACACGTGTTTGCAAGAGCGTATTCCAAACCGAGTTTACTTTAATATATTATATTGTTAGAGTCGCAGAATCCAGAATGTAATTTCCAGAAAGAATATTATTAGAAATTCGACTGGTTGTCTTAAAACATTCTTTCATGGAATACTTCTATTGTTTATACAGCTACTGCAGTACCATTTAAAGTAAATAATTACCTTTAATTATATTTTAAATCCGTAACTTTCCTCGAAGTAAGAAGTAATTAGTACGTCTAGATTGCTGTATTTAGAATGAAAGCGGAAATTCTGCTTTAACGAAACGTTTTTGTCGCTTTACAAAAAAGGAAATATCGATTAAGGGTCGGTAGGTACTGGCCGTTACACGGTAATTAAAACGCGCGTAACACCGAGGTTCAAGATAATTAGCAAATGCGCATCGAATCAAAAGGGCAACTACCGCTGAGGTAAATTGGCTGCAATGCGAACAACAGGCGCGCACCATAATTACAAGGTTCATTAAGTCGTATTCGATGGCGATTGTACTATTCACCGAATCACATGTGGTAACGCTAATTTCACTTCGAGTGAGATCAAAACAATTTTCTTATATTTTTTAACGAGCACGATGCCATTTAAACAGTTCTTGGAAATTTTTACCGTACAATTTTTACAGCATTTTATACATTTTCGACAAACGCTTCAATTATCGTTTAAAAATGATAATCTCGAAGAAGTATTTTTTTATAAGTCAACTATTTTATGATAGATGGCAAACTAAAAATATCGTTATAGTTCCATCTAATTAATCCATGTACCTATTTCCATTTTGTGTTTATCTTCTAAATTATATATTGACTAGCTTTTGCCTGCGGCTTTGCTCGCACAGGAAACCGTTTAGTTCCCCCGGAAATAGATATTGTTTCTCCATAAAACCTTTTAAGCCCCCATTCACCTCTATAGAGTTTTAATTTTATGCCATGTCGCTATCTTACATTTCAAAATTGATACCATTTCCTATCAAAAACCTTCATAACGACATCCATATCGAATTTAGGCGTATTTACACCGTTGCAACGGTTTAGTAATAAGATAATAATTACGTACTTACATGTTAAATTTGAAGTTTCTAGATTCATTTACGGAAATAAGGCAACTTTAATGCGAAATAAGTGTATCAATGAGCATTCAGACCAAGTATCAGGTAAATCCGACCACGAACAAAATATGTCTCATACAAACGTTGCAACCCCTTTCCACCACCTTAAGGATTGAATTTCGGAATATTCTTTCTTATTCCTTGTATACGTCATAAAGAAAACCTCTGTGCAAAACTTCAGCTTTTTATGTCCAAGGGCTTAGCCTGGGCGTTGATGAGTCAATGAGTCAGGCCTTTCATTTTATATATATATTTATATTTATATTTATATTATATTTATATATATATATATATATATTATTAATATGATTAATGTATTTGTTGGTTTTTCTCTTCTAAAAGAGAAAGTTTTCTTTATGTAACAAAAACCATCGACGCGTATGTTGCGTTTAGAGATACGAGTCAAGAGGGTGCAGCTGTGTCCCTTCCTTGACTTGTTTAAACAAAGTATAGGACCGATTGGGTCTGAGGGTACGGGACGAATTCTTCGTCACTGACCTTTCTCATTCTGTATGTTTCTTTCAATGCGTAAAGACGTGCCTTCCAAGTGTTTCAAATAAAGCTTAGTAAAAGTTATATCGTTTAAATTATTTTATTTATTCCAGCATATTTCCAATAGTATTAAATAGTAAATTGTTTGATTTCAACTGACAGTTAAAATAAAGATAATTGGATGCGTCGATTGCGTAACCATTCTATGCATACGGATCATTATACGCACAGAATTGAACTCGTTTTAATCACAGTTTTGATGGTTCTAACTAAACGTTTTGTATGTCTGAAAATTTTAATGAATTTTCCTGATATTGCAGTGGAAATTTCCACGTTCAGTGTTGATTCGCAGGATTACCTGGATTTTGTTTTATATGCTTTGTGAAAATTAATTAATGGGAAATCGTTAAATAATATGTAAATGTACGGAGTGTGATTCGAAAAAAGGAATATGGACGTCCATGTTTCTACCAGCGAATAAACTTTGATGATAAATATAATTTTAATTGCCGATTTTATAGGTGTTATTTTGGATTTAATTTTTTGGGGACAAGTATATTAAAATTCAGACCGTGCCTCTCAAAAGCAACATGCATTTTTTTATACTGTGGCTATTTTTCAAATTCGTTTTTAGAGTAACCTCATTTGCAACAACATTTCCCTTGAAATTCCTCCTTTGGGATCTGACAATTCGACCATCGTAATTGGCATAAATTTAATTGCAGTCAGTTTCAGATTTTTCCAAGCGCACTCTCTAAAATTCATTATTTAAGCGACGACAAACTAGTCAATGATAAACCAATATAATCTTTACCACGATCTCTATCAAATAGAAATCAGTTTTGCTTCAAACGTTGAGTTGGAATCAGTTCCTCTATGATCATTTACTATTTAGTAGAGGTTTCGCTACGGTCATTAACGAGTAACGTTGCATAACACGCGATAACGAGTATCCTCCAACGCCATTCACTCTGCCGTTTAGAATAGTCATCCAATATTAATTCGACGGGAGATTGTCCGCTCAAACGCGCATGTACCATGAAGGTTAATCCTGGAGCTTGAAATTTTAAAAGGGTCCAACAGAAAATACGTGTAGTTAGCTAGAAACAAGATTTTCATGATTTAAACAGTATTCAGTCCTTTGTTTGTAAATGTCGTTTGAGTGCTCAACTTATCAGGGTGGTTTAAGTATACGCGATACTTTTCTTTATAAATTTATTAGCAGTTTAAATCGTGCAAAAAAGGGTTGAAAAATATATGTTTACATATTTCGTCTTCCTCCTTGCCCAAGCAAGCCTTCTAAATCGGCTCCTGGTCGAAGCTTTATTGCTTCTATGGCGGATCAACCGCCGACTACACAACTAATTATTGTAACTGCATTTTTAGCGTTTCACCTGTTACGGATAAAAAAATGCGGATAAGTGAAATTAATGGTGCAGCCGGATCCATGGCTTGCATAAAATTCGCGTGCACGATGAATTATAGAGCTCACGTTCGAGAAATGTACACAGAAATGCATACGGAATGGATAAGCGCACGACACGAGCCCTATATTCGATGGTGCATTTAAACTTCTCGGTAAGTCGCTCGCCTCCACGCTCGTGCGATTGTGTATCGCATTAATAATTGTCGAGCACGTGCACATGAGGCCGTTGCACCCGGATTTCTACGGAGTGGTTCTCATTTGTCATTGAAAGCTGAAGCGCTATCTGTTACGCGAAAGACTCGCCGACTCTCGAGGATTGCGTACGTTACCCAGTAATGATTCTTAAAATGAACATCAGACGTGATTCGTAAGTTGAACGTTTCTATTTCCCCGCGAAACCAGTGAGGCGTGAAAAACGACATTTAAAAAACGATACAAAAAAATAATGTTTTTTTTCTCATTCGTTCTCATGCAATTATCGAGGTTTTGCTGTAGGTGTCTATATTCTTATTTCTTCTGATTAAAATATAGTACCTTCGAAACTGTTCCCATGTTTCCACCGACAAATTGGGCAAGCTATTCTGTTCAAAGTCTCGAATATTTCAATAAAAATGTTAAGTGCACCACTTCTTGTATTTTACACCTTTTTCGTTTCAACGCTTCTTTCTGGCTTCCTCGAACGTTCTATAGAAATTCTTTTCCCTTTTTCACGGCGTGCTCCATTCAATTTGCGCGCTTTAGACGAATACCATTCGCACGTGCTTGATGAAACGTTTATTCGCGAAGTACGCAAACTATTTTACATTTTCGATTTCATATCGACCACTAATGATGCTCGAATAAAGTTGACGTGTACATATCGTGTAATCGTCATTTGCCTGGATTAAATTCAACCCCTCGAGTTCAGTTTTTCTTAACGAACAGTCGGAACTGTCACTTTATTCGTATGAAATTATTTTTTACAAGAGTAAGATTAATTAGTAATTAAAGTTAACGTAATTTCTGTGAAGTTTTTGAATATCAAATGCAACGCAACGTTTCGTTGTTTATTTCTTCATCAGTTCTTCCGTCATGGCTTTGAATATTTTCGCACCTTTGTTGTTGCACTCTTCGTATTTAGGCACTTCGGACTTCATCTTCGCATACCACCTGTTAATGTTCTTGAAGGAACTGAGATCGTAGTTCAAAGCCTGTAGCAAAGATAACACAAAATAATCCAATTTGATCAATCAACTCGTAGAAAACACGTTGTACAAGTTCTAATGTAATTTACTGTATTTTAATGTATTTTTTATGTGTTTTTAGTTTTAATGTAGTAATTAATAATAATGATATGAACGATATGAATGATAAATTGTATGTTTATGCAGCTACTTAGTGACAATTACGTTATGAAAATAATGAATATGCAACTCAAGCCTATGATAAGTTTTGTCATCTTTGCTAAAGAGTTTATCAAGGAAACCTGTTCTGGATGAACAATAAATTTCTAAAGAATAAGACTATTATTTAAAAAATAATCCATTGACAATTTAAACTGTCTTGTAAAAGATTTTTCGATTGAAATTGTCAAACATGTTACCTCGAATGTAGAAACGGTGGCAACAATAGTCAAATCAGCGAGTGTCAGGTTGCTTCCTGCTACATAGTCATGTCCTTCGAGGAATTTTTCGAGAAAACCTAGAGCCGTGGCAATACCATTGTATTTTTCTTGATCCTTGGGTGTTTTGGCGAACAATATGGGGTACTGGAATGAAATATTGCCATTGATACAATTCTTAACTAAAATATTAATCATTACATTCTATGCATATTTGCTTTATGTTTTCTCGTAATTCATACACTAACAATAAGTCTGATTATATAAAATAAAATCAAAGACACGTCATAGCGTAGATTGTAGATAGTCAAATTCTCGAATTACTGAAATGCATTGTACGTGCTGCGATATTACTGTTTACGTATGTATATCTGCACAGGAAATTTAGCAATCTGCTAGTTGTATGAGTCCATATCTCATACCGACGTCGGCGATATGAAAGACTGAGTGTCCGTACGTGATATCAAGCTTAATGTCAAGAGGATAAAAAGACTATAATGCTTTCTTTGCCAGTTAGCTATACTTAGTTTTGTAAATTACTTTCTATCGGTACTCAACAATCTAAGAGATATATTAATTGCATTATACATTGTGCATTGTTTGAAACGGTATTTATAACAATAAAGTATTATTGCAATGTAGTTTTGGTATTTGAATAATTTATAAATCAATAATACTACAAATTTAACTACTACTAAAGACTTTAAGTACTATGACGTCTAATTAAACTTAAATTAAATAATGATCAAAATATCTCGGTTACAGCTATAGTAATAGTATTTTAATTTTTCTTTTTAATATTTTAGTTTGAACGTTGTTCGACTTTCTGAAGTACCATTTATAGAATACTCAAATACTGAAATGCCATTAAAAAAATATCATTACTATTAGAGCTTCATCAACAAAATTTATATTACGTTATATTACGTTATAAAACGTTCCTACATAGTAGGACGCTGAAGGACACGGAGAGCATGATTGTAATAGAAGTCATGCTTGACATAATTCGTAATCAGAAATGTGGCCTCGAGCGGCCAGTTAATTTTCTGCTAATTGCGAATACGCGATCAATGTAGATAAAATAATACGTGTAATGATGTAACTATGCACAATGTACCGATCCGATTATGGAGGTTTTCAATTTACTGTTCGTAGATATTACGTAACGAGTAACTTTCAGCACAGCCATGATTCTCTTAAGAATTGCTACATAGTATCGTGACTTACGTAATAATCAGCGAGGGCTTTGTACAACGTGCACGCGTCGAAATACAATCTCTGATTAACAACAGCGCGTTTCTTTGGGTCCTTCGGGTACAGGGAGTCGTTCTTGCCATACTGTTCCGCCAGGTATGTCATAATTGCACGACTGCAAGGAAAATGGAAAACATACAATGTACTTCTATTTCTGGATTTTCTGGTAATCGTCATAAATTTCTACGCGGTAAACTCTCGCGTTTAAATTTTTATTTAAAAGCGTAAATTCAAATAAATCTTTAAATATTGTGTAATCGTTGTTAATTTTAAATTTTAATAATTTTTCTAATCTTTAATTTACATCAACTTCTTTTTTGCACAATGTGAAAACGCTTAAGATTAGAAACGAAACTGGCAAGCCTTACCTTTCCCACAGGCTGAAGCCATTGTCGTCGATCGTGGGAATCGTGTGTTGCGGATTTATCTGCGCAAAGGAAGACTTTAACAGCAGAGTACGATAAAAAATATAAAAATTCATTTTCGTTGAAAACTATAGTCATTCGCTCCGTTTTATATCACTCGACTAAGTGTTTCTCTGTCAACTAAAGGTAATTTATTAACTTGATATAAACAATTTCTTTCGGTGCAATAAAATTTATCCAAAGGAGAGTTAATTCCCATTATTGTATCGCACTCTCTGAAAACTCTAAATAAACGCAATTTGTGAAAAATAATTTTATTACCCGAATCACGTACTTTCAAAAATTCTGGTTTCAAATGTTGCCCGCTCATCAGGTCCATTTCTTTGTAGTTGAGTGGCACTCCAATCGCTGCAGCCGTTAACGCAACAGCGCGGCACGGAGCGCTTCCGGGAAGTTGATAAAAATCGATCGGCATTTTAAATTCTGTAAAAACGCGCAAAATATTTATTCCAAGATATTTCGATACTTTGTTGTAACAGTTAACGAAAAATAAAAAATTCTTCGCCGGTTGAACTTTCAGTTTCTTTTGCGCTTTTCGATTAACTGACTGTCGGTCGTTTAACGTCGTCGCCGCTTGCTTACAGTTACGTTTCGCGTTTCCTTACGAGTTAACAGAAAATTGCCGACACCTATTATGTGTAGATATATACCCGACTATTAAAGTAAGTGTATGTTTGCACATTTGCATAACAGTAGCGTGACTGAGTATCCAGATCGAGACAATTAAGCACGAAAATAGGCGACAGTGGCACTGCCCTTTCTAATCGTTCAATTACGTTACCACTTGCTATGAATCTCTCCAATGACTACAACAATTCCCCCTTACGAATTTAGCAATGGGGCAGGAAGATATAACTGCTTGTTGGTCGTTAGAGAACAAGGATTATTGTGATTTATTACACGATGTTTCGACTGAAATTTATTATATAGGAATGATATATTATATATTTTATAATAAATTTTATGGCACAATCATATACGAAATTAACGTACAGATATATTTACAGACCTCGAGAATCGATTGGTATTCGAATAATATTTTGCGTATCTCCGGTCGAAATGTCGTGTAATAAACTAGCCAATAATCGTTCCTGTGTTACGCTCTGCCAACCAAGTAGTTCCTATTCCCTCGTCCTTTACTAATTCTCGGAATTTACGAGCAAAACGTACACGCAATTAATTTAATTTTGCACCACGTTCATAGTGGGCCGATAACCAATTCACTATATATTTCACTATTACTCCGGGAACTCGAATATTACCAGTTTCTGAAGTACCATCACCGCACAGTAGCTCGATAACCGTGCTACCAAATAACATGTTAAGATCAGATTTTAAGTAATAGTTGCACGATGACTGTGATTAGTTTTCGTGATTTTTCGAACGGGACACTGTTTTCGAATAATGATTACGTTACAGATCTTTTCGAACGTCGACGCAACGGAACCGCGCACCACGTTAAAAATAATATAAAACGCGAACTGAAAGCACAACCGCGAAAACACTGACAACGAAGAACGAATATACTCGAAAATTTAGACTCGAATCCGGGATGATTTACAATGGATCGCGAAAAAGACATAAACGGTAATCTGAAATGTACATACGCTGCAGGAACGCACGATGAAATAATCACTGTGTAGCCGTGTTAGGGTCTCGAGTCTCTTTACAAATGCTGGGACATTTGCTACGCGGCCCCCTTTTCAAGCGACCAACGGAACCTCAATGCGCAGGCTCGACCGGTATAACCTGTTACTATTACGGAGGCGTTGCCTCTTTGGACTCACCGATTTGATCCTTACGGATCGTCGGATTTATGGGAATACAGAATGACTGACCAGAAAGGGAACCGAGAAATCGATCTCTCGGAATTTCTGGCGCGAGCGTTGAAAATTTCGTTATCTACAGCGGGTCACAGGTCTGTTGATACAGGCAAAATTTGATAATAACGGGTGAAATAATAAGATAATTAAACGGCTCTAACATTTTTGTATTAACCCATCAAGTACCAAGTTGTTGTTACTTTTTTTATAGTTCGGATGGCATATGTCCCAAGCAATGCTGAAAAAATACTACTGTAAAATATGTTACTAACGTTGCATTTTAGGATTAAGGACAGTCTTAACTGTGGGGCGTTTATTTTAATACATTATAATTCCACCGATACGATGCTAGTAATACATATCAATCAATTAATTCGTTGCTAACAACACGTTCGCTGACGATCGTGTAAACAGTCGCATTCCTTTCAGGAACGGCTACGTCATTCCGTAGGCCATCGCCATGTACGTATGTACACGTATTATCGCGTGTATCCTCTTGTATAAAATTAGTAGTATTTTTATTGAGCATTTAAGTATCGATAATTTCCATCTTGAATACGGACTAATTTAAATAAAAATATAGAATTTGATTTCTATTCAAAAGTCATGACAACTATTCAATACTTTGTCGTACAATGTAACAAATTTATTCCAAGCAAATGAGTCATTTATATTGCATAATCATTACACTGCACTTTAAGCAAACCTAATGCAAGATAAAATTGCTCTGTCATGATTTCTATGACTTGCAAGTAAATCAACAGAAATATATTGTGATTGAACTTGATAAACAATTACCAAATTTAGAAATACAGCACTTCACGAAATTACTGATGTTATGAACATGTAAACAGACAAATAGAAAATTACTTCATTTATCTCTTCTTTGCAAGAACGTGAAAATTATCAAAATTATCAATTACAATTTCGTTCCGTAAGTACAGTAAGAAAAATGTACGTCATTATACAGGAATTCAGTCGTAGGATGTTATAGCGGTTTTTCACATAAATCAAATCGTTTGCCCGAGCGAAAGTATGGAGGTCTTTCGTCCAGCCTTGGAAGGAAACTCCAAGGTCTCAGGAACAAGGATCGTCATTAGTCTCGCCAGATAAACTGGAGCAACGAACATCTAGCAAATTAAACTGAACTATAAACTTCGTTCAACGGAATGATCGATAATTTTCTCACTTAACGATGTTAACTTAAAAATCAGATATTTGGAAATCAGAAATTGGTGAAGCAGAAAGACGTTCCATGCTTGCATTAATTCTGAAAAATTTTATTCTAGGGGCTCAATCAACGTATGCTAAAATAATTCAGCGACGAATCGTATTAATTTTTGAATATGTGCTGCGAATTTAGTTTATCGCTGTGGCCATCCAATTAAAAATTTGCAGTAATAGGTGCTACGTGATATGCCCATGGGTACTATGATAAAAAGTACTTCAATTTTGATGCGTCACCTGATAAATCTATTTGTACACTTCAACGGGCGCAGATTTATCAACATCGGAATTAGTATCGATATTAGAATTCAATTCCTTGAATGCTTCAAACATTTTATTATAAAAGTATTGCGAGCTGATAGGAAACATACGATATAATAATTGAGAATACGATTTGAGATTTACTAATACACGTGACTGATCTTTAACGTGATAAATGTTTGTTTGAACGGTTATATTATACGTATAAAACCGTGACCTGGTTTACAGGTAAATAGTTCATTACTCTGCTTTCAAGAAAAACAGTTCGATATGGTCGGTCCCATTTCGTGCGATGGGAATCGATCACGAGTTCGTAAGTAGTCAACCTACTTTTCAACGATTATCTGCGTTTCATGTGGTCGAACCATTGTCGCGGAACTTACACCATGGAAACGTAGATACCGTAGATAACCGCAAATTCCTCGTTTTACGTTCAGCGTGAGTGTGCACGCAATTGAAAATGTACTTCTAATCATACGCGATTAGAGCCACGGAAACGCACTTTCCGAGAAGCACGGATCAATTATGGATAGTGTTTGCTATTGGATCGAGTTTAATTAGAATTATCAAGTCTTTTTAGACACAATAGTTGTTGCTAATCGAGAAACACATATGTATCTGAATATTTTAGCGCTCGGAACGACAATGATTCGACATCTTTTGTTTACTCACTTTGTGGTAATGACACATACATCGTCATCTTCGATTGATTCATTTTCAATACATTTCGAAACTGTTTAAGAAATATCTTATTCTAGTACACATTACAACGTGAATGACCTATTTCTGATCTTAAATAAAACTTTGTTTTGATTTAGTTTTAACTTTAATGTAACTATTTAAACCAAACGTTCTATTATGATTAAATAAATATTATTCCAAAATAGTTTTAGACAGTTTAAAGCAGCTACTAGTTTCACGGTTAAACATTGACACCAAAATCTAATTAAGATTGGTCGTTGCGATATGTCCACGCTAACTGACGATAATCCGTTATGCATGACTTAAGGTATTGCCAGGGTATTAACTGTTCTACACAATCAATGTTCATCTATTTAAAGATAGAACAGCAAACAAGGACATTTGTGTTCTACGCAAACTAACGAAACAGAATCCACTTCATATAAAATTAGATTTTCTGTTAGTAAAACGTGAAGTAACGTATGAAAGATTAATAACAAAATGGAACACTTTGTTCACATTTCTGTTTATGAAGCGAAACGATGTCGTTGATTGCAAGTCCTTATGAAAAAGTCAAACAATAAACATAAAAATAGACTCTCTCGAAATTAAATTAATTAAAAATGTCAATAAAGGAAGCACAACTAAAACAAAAATACGAATAAATTTTATTTCATATTTAGAATTAGCGTACGATATGAGGTCCGCAGACTAAAAATGACACGAATATAGAGGGGAAAATAGTAAATGAATGCAATAGTATCGAGCCCTCGTGGAGATCGATGAAAATTGCAGAAAGCAATCTCCACGTTGTCCGTAGCTAGAGGATTAGGTAATTATTTACTTTAGCGATACCTCACCAATTTCGATGACCTTGAAATATGTTGTCAAGGTCACTGTTATGAAGATTTCTTCTTTATACATGTTACCGCCGTTCGCCTTTCGTTTTCGAGATACAATTTGCAAAAATAATTTTATGTCTGAATTAGCCTCGGATTGAGTTGGAAATACAATATTAAACTTTATTCTTTATTATTATTATTGTTATTGTCGTTATTATTAATAGAAATTGGAAAAATGTCTGCCATTATATAAAAAAATGCAAGTATTCTTGTAATAAAATCATGACGACCAACGACAAATAATGTATACTGTGTCAAGCTAATGTCGGATAATATTAATAAAAAAAATTGAAATGGAAGATGAATGCGTGACTGGCCAGCAGTGGCCAGCAGTGATCGAGATATTTAGCGAAATTTTGCCGAAAAATAAATTTTTTAACCAATTAAGTGTGTTTGACGACTATATCCGTCATGGAGATATGGCAGAATTTTGTGTCATGACGACTATATCCGTCATGCGTAAAATTTCGTTACAATTTGATATTTAAATTGTAATTTTGGCGAAAACTAAATTATATTCGTAAATTTT